TTTCTTTTGAAATAAGTATATTATTTTCTTTAAAATATAGGGATCGATTAAAGCTTTTTTCTAAATCGTTTATATAGAATATAAAACTATTAGCCTCTAAAAAAAGCTTAGATTTATTATACTATTCTATATAATTAGAATAATTATTCAGTTTAGGATTTATAAACTTAATTTTTTAATTTATATTCATTTTTTATATATTTTTATTTGATATATATAAATATTTTATTATAGTATAATAAATACTGTATAATTAAAATCTTAATATAGTTTTTATAAAGCTTTATTTTAGAAAGTAATTAGATTTTAATTGTTACCTTTTAATATAAATCTATATAAATCCTTATATATAAATCTATTTAAATTAGAGTATCTTTATATAAAATATAATACTATATAATCTGTTATGAATAATATATATGTATATGTATAGCTTTTAAGGACCTAGTTTTATTCTTTAATTAGGTTTAGTCTCAGGGACACAGGCTAATAATAGGCTAAAAGAGCTTAATATATTAATAAATAATATATTTAAATATATATTAATAATATATTTATATATATATTAATAATATATTTATATATATATTAATATAAAGAGATATATATATAGATTTATTGATTTATATCTCTTAATATAAATATATAATTATAAGAAATTTAATATTCATCTAGACAATCTAATTCCTTATTAATTATATTATCTATTAAATCAATATTTTCGAATTCAAGATCAAAAAGATTAATATTCACATCTATTTTTGAATATATAATAGCATTCTTTATATAAATAAGAAATTAAGCATTCTATTACATAAAGTTTAATATAATAGTTTCTATATTATAATTATATAATATAGAAATACTATATATTGAGTTTTTGATATCTAATTAATCTAATTCAACTTAAATTTCATTTCCTTATACTTTTGAATAATATTTAACTATTATTCGAAATTCTATTTTAATAATAAGATTATTATTATTATAGATTTCTTTCTTGTTTTCATATTAAATCGCTTTGTATTCCCTATTATTTAATTTCTTTTTAAATCTTTTAACAATTCTTATAGATATATTCTGATCTATAAAATTCATATAATATATGATTTATATTATAATATATAATATACTTTTATATACAGGGATTTGATATAATTTTAATTGATTAATCTCTTTTTTCACTAATCTGAATATTAAATTGATATTTTAATTTTCAATTTGAATTAGATTCGGATTCGTATTTAGTCCTTTCTCTATAATAATACTTTAAATATAAATTGGATTCTAGGCTTCTTCGAAAATAAAATTAGAATTCCTATTAATAGCTTTTAAATCAATATTATAATATATAATTAAACTATAATTAGAATTTGATATGCCTAATAAATTCAATTAGATTTGACTTTTGATTCCTTAAACTATTAGATAGTATTTAATCTTTATTGAATATATAATAAAATGATATAAATTGTTTATATATCTTTCTCTTCTTTTTTCATATTAAATTATATTATATTCCCTATTATTTAGTATTCTTTTATATTCTTTTATTATTCAATTGAGGAAGTCTTTAATTAATTCCATATATATTATAGGATTGACAATATATATATAGTTCACAAATATATATAAGGATTGACAAAGGTTTATATATAAACAATTAACTTTATATCTCTAATAAAATGTGATATTCAATTCTATTACTCCTAGTAATGTATAATAAGAGAACTACTATACACCTAGTGATATATAGTATTGATATTATATATATCCGGTGATATATATTGAAAGAGCTTATTTGTACTTAGTAACATATAATATTAATGATATATACATCCGGTCTGGTAATGTATATATTCCTTTTTATATTATTTAATAGTATAATAAGGGTATTATATATATATATGAGTGTATATATATATTCTTAGGATTTGAATAAGGATTTGAGATTAATGTAAATTCGTATTAATATGTAGAATTGCTTATATAATATATAAAGTGTCTTAATTGAGTAAATTTCTTTATATTCTTTGCTTTTAAATACAAAGTCAATTGTCTTTCGACTTTTTCACTCTTTTCTTGCTTTTTCGATATATATCTCGATATATATTTCGATATATATATACTTTTTTTTAATTGTATATATAAGTTACTAGGCTTATAACCTATTATAGATTATAGACTAATAATATATAATATAAAAGCTAACTCTAATTAATAATTAAAATGGATTATATAAGTAGTATAACATATGATATTAAAGAATTTATATTTAATAAATAATCTTTCTTATTTTATATTTAAAAGGAAAAAACCCTTTTTTTATGCTTTTTCCTATTAATTTAGTTTTTCCGCTTTTATTAATCTTTTATAGATCTTTTCCTAATCTGTTCATTCTTTCGAAATAAAGCCCCTTTTTGTTTTCTTTATTTTACAGCCGTTTTCGTATTTTATGACTGTTTTCGGATTAATAATTGTTTTCGGATTAATGGTCGCTTTCGTAAGCTTATAAGCGACGATCATATGATCTGATTATATAATAGGCTAATATTATATTGAATACCTTTAAAAAGATATATATATTATATTATTTTTTAATTAAAACAATAGTTTTTAAATACAAAGCTCTATATTATAATAAAACCTATTCCCTTATATAAATCTTTATCTTACTTAAATAATTGGAATAACTAATTACTCCTAAAACACTATTATTTTTAAACTATTTATTACAGAATATTAATCTTATAACTTTTGTTATCCTAACTTATTCTTTTATTTTAAAATTAATCCCTTAGGATATTACTAATTCTAATAAAATCTTCTTACTTATTATATTCTGTTTTTTTTAGAATTTATTATTCTAAAAACTATATTCTAGATTTCTAGAGTATCCTATAACTAATACTATATATATACCTAAGGCTTTCTTTAGGTACCTAATATCCCTCAATATACTACAGTTAAATCACTAAGGCCTATAATACTATTATAGCCTATAAGTTAGTGATTCTACAGCCTGTTACTAATCCGTTATAATATAAACTATTTCAAAAGATCTCTAAATACTTCCACGTGACCCTAGAGGCAGCTCCTATAATACTAGTCTTACAAAGTAGTATACTCTATCCTATAAGCTTTTATAAAATGTATATCTATCAAATAATCTGGGTATCTAAAGTATTTATAAGTAAATATTATATAATTATTCTATAATTATCATCTAAAAAGGAGGTTAATTCTAATTATATAATAAAATTAAAAATATTAGATTATACTATTTGAATTATACTATTGAAAATTTACATTATTCTATTTAATATATTATTTTACAAGCGATTATTTTAGAATAAACAAATAATATATTTTCATTTTTTTTCTATTTGATTTCAAAATTATATTATAATTTGATTAAAAAACTATTATTTTATAATATTTATAATCTTTTAAATATACTTCTAAATATTCTCAATATATATTATATACTTTATAGATATTCTAAATATCCAAGCAATCTATAGAGTGATTATCTTATCCTATAGAAATAGAATTGAGTATAATATTGATTGGGTTATACTCTAAGTTATTCTGAGTATACTCTACCTAATGCTCAGCTCTATTTAATATCTTTTATTCTATAAAAAAGTGCTTGATTTATTACTATTTAATTTCTTCTAATAATTTTTTATTTTATAAATAAAAATCTTTAATCAAAATCTAAACTTATTTATATTTAGAAATTCTTTTTTAAATAAAATAAAATTAAGATAAGTAAATCAGATTTTCAATATAACTTTAGCAAATAATAATTCTTTTATATTATTAATTTATTAATATATTAAAAGAATAATTAGATTTATAAAATCTCAAAATACTAAGGAAACCTTATTTCGAAAATAATTCTCTAATATTTAGAAAGTAATTAAAACTTAAAAGAAAAGAATTAAAAATAGAAGAATTAAATTATAAGATTAATTTGTTTTTAATATTAAGAAAATATTGAAAATAATATATAAGATAAAGGAAAAACTGAAGAAAGAAAAGCTATGAGAATAATTCTATAAATATTTAATTAAAGAATTAGAAAAAGAGATTGAAAAAAAGAGCTAAAAAATAATTCAAATAATTCAGAATTGGATTTAAAGAATTATATAGCTTATAGAATAAGATTATATATAGAATAATTGAAAAAGTGTTCGAATTCCTTATATATTCGAGTCCCTTATATATTATATTATATTTATATAATTATTTTGAGTATAATAATTAAGAATGTATATAATCTGTTACGGTCAAGTCCTAGAAAACTATTAAAGTATTCTAAGAATTATATATAAATTGTATATAAAATCAGTCTTAGATTTTAATATTATCGGATAAGATATTAGGGATTGATGTTATACTTTGAAATGAATTAATAGTATATTAGAATAATTGATGAATAATTTGATCAGGGCTTTGACTATAAATGTATAAGTAATCCTCTTAGTATGACTATATTATCCTATAATTCAAGTATCTGTAACTTATAATCTGTTTATTACAATTTTCTTTTTATAGTATTACGATTCTATTTGCTCTTTCGTCATGTTTGCCTAGCGACTATATATATACAGTTCTTACTTTTGAGTTAATATAGAAAGAATCATCGGGAAATTCATATCTGTACTAACGTAACTTGACTAGAAGTGGGTCATGTCATGATACGGGTCAAAATGTTGAAACTAGTATTTGGAGTATAAGCCGATTGACTAAGGTATATACCTGCAGAGGATACTTGTGCAAATTCAAATGGAACACCAGAGTGGGGGTTTGCTGTTGATGGTTATCAATACATTTCAAGCTGTTTTTTCCCCTCATTATATCTTATGCTTTACGTTCTATCAATTTTGTTTACGTTTACCGCTTCAAAGCACGTACATCATCCTTTTTGTTTCATATACTAACCTCCTGTCCATCATAGCACACAAAATTCCTATTATTCCAACCACACTAGGTCAATGCCCCTCTTCCTTTTTCTCCTTTCTTACACTTTTCCACTCCAATCCACAGACAGCCAGAAACCCCCCAATAGCACAAGCTGCCGAGACCCAAAATGTCGCCTTCAATCCCTCCACATACGCCTCCAATACCTTCTCCAATTGCCCCTCCTGCCCCCATGTTTCCAATAGCGCCCTGATCTCCGTAACCCCACTATCCAAAAAAGCCCTTGCATCCAACCCTGGGACCCTCTCCTCAACCCCTCCTACTAATCTATTCTGAAACAGTGTCTGCGAGACCGGCACAAAGATCGCACCACCCAGCGTCATAAATAACGAAACACACGATATAGCCACCGGAATCCGCTTATTTGACATCACCGTCTGCGCGACAATAATCCCGCTCTCGAACCCAACACCCACGCCCAGACCGGTAATAACCTGGAACCCCGCGTTCCTCGCATACGACGTCGTGAGTGAGAGCGTAGTCAGCAGCCCGGAACCAATGGCAAATAAAACCATGCAGATGAGCATGATGGGGGTGTAGTACCCGAGCGTGGAGATCGCCGCCCCGGTTCCGGTGGAGCTGACCGTGCATGCGAGGAGTAAAGGGAGCATTTGGATTCCAGCGTGCAAGGCCGAGGAGCCTTTGACGCTTTGAAAATACACTGGGAGGTAGTAGGATAGACTGAAAAATCCAGCGCCAAAGAATGCTGAGAATGCAAATGCGCATACGGTATTCCGGTTTTGAAAAAGATATGGAGGGAGGGTTCCGGCCTCGCCGAGCCGGATTTGAGTGTAGATGAACAGGATGGTGAGAATAGCTGAGGTGACGAAGAGGCCGATAATTTGACCGCTGTTCCAAGGGTAGGTAGAACCACCCCATTGGAGAGGGAGGAGGAGGCAGATTATGGCGGGGATGAGGAGGGAGGCGCCAAGGAGGTCGAGCTTTAAGATGCGTTGTTTGAGGGTTAGGGAAGAGGGGTTATTGGGGCGGTTGATATGAAGGATGTGAGATATTACAGCGACACAAAAGGCTCCTATGGGAAGGCTGGGGGTAGGGTGAGTTAGTTTGTATTTGTTGACGTTCTGCACTTAGGGTAGGGGGTGTTGATATTCTTACTTAATGTAGAAGCACCAGCGCCAGGAGAGTTTATCGCTATCCGGAAAGGTCAGTGGGTTCATCGATGCTCTGTCTATAAATGGGAGACTGACGTAAAGACACCGCCAAGTAATGGTCCCGCGACTGATGCGATTCCCCACATACTACTAATTATACCCATTGCCAACGGCCTCTTGCGCAGTGGCACTTCTCAAGTCAGTTGTGCATATCTGAAGAGAGCACTTGTATTAATGGGAAGTGGAAGCAAGTTAGAACTTACAACTATACACAACAATTATAATCGAACCTGTAAACAGACCTCCCACGCCGCCTCCAGCTATGGCTCGGCCAATGATAAGCATGTTGCTGCTCGTTGCCGTAGCGCAGATTAAGGAGCTGCGTATTGATCTGTCAGTACGTGGGATTGATAGCGGAAGTGCTGACTACTTACCCAAGCTCGAAGATAGCAATGGCAGCCAGGAAGGTATACTTGATCTATTAAATCGTTAGCCAACAACCGGTTCTTTATTTGGGAAACGCAGTGCACACGCACATTGAAGATAGAGTATATCCTTCCAAAACTAGGCTGCAACGCCGCTTTCGTAAGTAAGTAGCTCGACCCATACCTACAGACATCAGCAATCACTCATATATATGCACCATGAAAACACCAATTCAATGCCTAACACAACACCAACACACTCACCAACCAATATCTCCCGTACTCTTGAAATGATCCGTAATCTTCGGAATAGCAGTAGAAATAATTGTCTGATCCAGCGCCACCAAAAACACAGCCAAACACAGCGCCAGTATAATAGTGACAAGTTTGAGACCCTCGGGGTACTGCGGCTCGCTACTAACACTAGGTAGTCGTTCTGTCGCGGCCGAGGCAGAGTCTTCAGCGGTTATGCTCAGAGCAGGTTCTTTTTGGGAAAACGAGTTGCGCGCCTCGAGCGTATCTATCTTCTCTGCGTCCGAAGAGGCAGTAGAAGCAGTAGTCATGGGCACAGCCTTGTCTGAGACTTCCACGTCGCCCATTTCCATATCCTGCATAATTGCGATAGGCGCTTGCTTGCACAGCCAAATCAGTAGAGACAACAATCGTCTCTTAGGGCTCGTTGTACTGACACGTAAATCTACCGCACGATATCTAGAGGTTCTTCACATCAATACTGTTGTTCAGTACAGTTTCACGAATTTATCGCGCACAAAAGCAATCAACACCCAAAATTACAAGGATCCCCCTTCCACGACCAGCACATTTCCTCTCTATCCTCTATTATCTAGACCAATGAGAAGCGTCTGATAAGCTTGGCAATAATCACATGAGGGAGTATCTGGCCGGCAGATCTTACACCAATAGCAGGCAGTACATGAAAAGGAGTTGTGTCGTATCTCGAATCGCGAAGTCACGCAGCCAGCTATTCCGTTCTTGTGTACATCCGGCACTAGTGCAATCCTTGTCATATGCGTTGAATGCCCAAGTTAGTTGAGAGGCACCCCTCGCACCCCTGTCGTCTGTCCTTTTTGTTCAAGAATTTTATTAGAAGAACAATCAAATATTAGGCATTTATAATACTATCTTCAAATGAAGTAGAGAGGCTGTTATGACGTCTTTTTCGAACAAAAAGTAATAAAATTTAACTTTTTATTATAGATTACTAGTTTTTAGTATAAATCATATAATATAGTTTATCATTGAGTAAACTATATTATTAAATGAGTCATTTTTAAATATATCAAAATCAGTTATTTTTAAGAATAAAAGAATATAAAATAATAATAAAATTTTAATTTTCTAGAAACTTAATTTTTATAAAAATATTTCTATTATATTAAAAAAAATTTGAAAATGTTATAATTTTCATTATAGAAAAACTATTTCTTTAATAACTTTTATATAGATTCGAATTTTTATTAAAATATTAGATTTTTATAATAATCTTATAATTAAATTATCACGGCGTTAACTATATGATCTATAGTTACCTTCGTACTTCAGATATAAACTATTAATATATCCTGCTTCCTATAAATAGAGCTTCACTTTTCTATAGCCCTTTTACCCTTATAATATAATATAAGTCTTTACCTGCACCTTAATATAAATATTATATGATAATAACCTCATATAGTATTATTTTATGTATTAATACCCTAAATATCAAAAGTGTTAATTAGAGTCTAGTATATACTAGTTTAGATTGTTTTGATTTTATAAATATTACTATTCTAGTCCTAATATGTTTTTTATTTTTTATTTCTTCAATTTTTTGAATTTTTTGAATTTTTTATAATATCTAAAGTTTTTTTAGCCTTTTTAGCTTTTTCAATTCTTTCAACTTTTTTTTAAATTTTTTAACCTTTTCAACTTCTTAATTCTTTTAAATAATTTAAAAAATCAGAAAATTCTATTCAGAAAAGATTTAAAAAAAAAGAAAGACTAGAATAACATTATTTTCAAAAAAAGTAAAGACTGAAATATCAAAAATGTTATTTGGGGTAATTTTAGTCATATTCCTGATATTTGAGGTATCAATATATGAAATAATATCATATAAGGTTATTACTATTGGTTCGAGAAGAATACGAAAGACGTAGTATCTATGTATTATAAATCCTATATATCTAATCATATTCTATCTAAAGAGCTAGTTATGTAGGAAAGTAGTAGGCCTTATATAAATACTATTGAAAAAACTAATCTCTTTTATATTTACTTAATCTTTTTAATATAATAATTATTATATTGAAGTTATTCCTTTGAAATAAATATTCTTATTTATATACTCAAAACTCTTTTTTATAATTTTTAATATATATAATTAAAAAAGAAATTTATAAAGTCATAAAAATCCTTTGTTTATTAATTAAAATCCCTAACCTTTTACTAACAAAATTATTTCTTTTCTTAATTCTTTTTATTTATTTTATTGTTTTAATATTAATTTTATTTATATTAATTAAATTAGTAAGAGCTTGATATAACTTTCTCTTTATTATTATATTAACTGGATTAATTGAATTATCAATTTATATAACTTCAATAATTTCTTTTCTCTTATAGAATTAATGTAGTATTATAATATCAATTATTAATCTCTTTTTATTAATTATATTTAGTTTGATAAGTAAATTATATAATAATTTTGAATTAATGTATAAAACTAATAGAATCTTTTTATTAAAAATAGTATTAATTATAAAAGTAATTACTACTCTAATATCGAATTCTTGAACTAATTTATATAACTTTAAAACTAGAATATTATGTATAACTTTTTTATATTTGATAGATAATTAATAAATAATATTAGTATTATTGTATTTATTTATTATAATAATTATATAGTTTATTTAAAATGAATAGTTTTTATTATTTATAAAAAAGATATTAGTGAAAATAATGATTTTAAGTGAATTCAAATTTAGCGGTATATAGTTAAATCCTTTGGCAAAAAAAAAATTATTATTTGATAACGTAATGTATGGGGAACTCGGACATATGGGGAACTCGGACAGGTACCTTTACACCAAATTTTATATGTAAAGATACTTGAAGCGACTTTTCATATCTCTAGAAATACTAGAGATATAGTTTTGATATTTTGAAGTATGATATATTCAATATAAATATTTAATATAACAAAATTTTATAGAGATATAATTTTTTTTAATAAAGATATTAAAGTTTCTTTCAAATTTTCGTTTTTGCCTAACAAAAATTACTATAGGAATTTTTAGAATCGTATTAATTCAAGAATAATATTATTAAAAAGTGTTTTGTAACTTTAATACTATATTTTTATTAGATATTAAGCCTAATTATCAAAAAAAATTAAATTATCTTTGATATCCATAGAGATATAAAAAGTCGCTCTAAGTACCTTTACATACAAAATTTGGTGTAAAGGTACCTGTCCGAGTTCCCCATATGTCCGAGTTCCCCATACGTTACGTTATATTTATTCAATATTATAATATTATTTTTATTAAGTTGTATTATTTATGTTATTATAAACAAATTAAAAAATATTTTAAATTAATATATAGTTATAATATATGCTTTATAGGCTTGTTATATAATATATTAATTATATATAAAAGTATACTTTTAGATTTTATTATGTATTTTATAAATATCTATAGATTCTATAAAAACAAATTGTAGATTATTATATTATTTCTTTTAATTAAAATAAATATTATTATTTTAAAATAATATAACTTATAGTAAACCAAGTTATATAAGGAATTGGATTATATTTAGCCTATTATTAATTTCAAACCCTAACAAATTTTATTATACATATTAAATCATTTTTTATACTTTCTCAAATTAAAGAAAAAATATAGAATACTATTATTATATTTCAATTAAAGGAATTTAAATTAATTAAAAAGACTATAGAGTATTTTGAAGTTCTTAAATTAATTCTTATAATTAAAGTTATTAAAAGAAAATTATATACTTAGTTCCATAAAATAGCTTAAATTCTTTTAAATATAAAAAAAATACTTTTATATAATAAATTTCATAATTTATAATTATTAGATTCTTTATTATATCTATATTAATAAAGAAAATAATTAATAAAATTCGTTTTTAATATATTTAGATTATATTATCTCGAATTCCTATTTCAATAGAAATTCTATTTATAAATTATAAATAGATTTATAGATTTCAAAAACAATATCCAGAATTTAAAATATACTACTTGTATTAATTAAAATCTAATTGAATTAAAAAAATAATATTAAAGAATATTCAAACTTAATTTAATATATTTTATATATATCTTATTAAACAAAAATATAAATTAAATAATATATATAATATAAATAAAACTAGATTTGAAATTGGAATTATTCAAAATATATATATTATAATTGATTCTATTTAGAAATCGAATTAAAAAGTTATAATTAATAAGCAAAAATAAATAATTATATTTAAATATATTAATATAATTAAAAAGACTTTATTATTTATAATCATTTTTAAAACTTAAAATACAAATTCTATATAGATTTTAAAGAATACATTTCAAAACTAATAGTTTTTTATTAATACAAATAAATGGATTTCAAATAGTTATAAATTAAAATAATTAAAAAAGATTTTCAAATTAGAATTCAAAAAAGTATTAAATAATCAATCTTGACTTTTAATTGTAAATAGTTATTCAAATTATATTACAAATAGTTTTATTACTTTTTATATAAAGAAAAATATTAATTTATTTATATTATTTTTTCATTACTCTTATTTACTTTAATTATTTGATATTATAATATATAAACTAATAAAATGATATTATACTTTAGAGATTAATTGATATTCTTAAGCTAATATAAAACAAATTCAAAGAATTAAATAAATAAAACTTTTTCAAAATATTAGAAAAAAAGCATTGAATTCTTCTAATATTAAAACTGATTAAAAAAAAACTAATTTAATATCTTTTATTTTACAAAAAGTATTCGATTTATTATTATTTAACTCCTTCCAATAATCTTCTATTTTATAAATAAAAATCTTCAATCAAGATTTAAATTTATTTATATTTAAAAACTCTTTTTCAAATAGAATAAAACTAAAATAAATAAATCAAATCTTTAATAAAGTTTTAGTAAATAATAATTCTTTTGTATTATTAATTTGTTAATATACTAAAAGAATAATTAGACTTATAGAATTTCAAAATATTAAAATAGCTTTATTTTGAAAATAGCTTACTAATATTTAAAAGATAATTGAAACTCAAAAAAAAAGAATTAAAAACAAAAAAGTTATATTATAAAATCAATTTGTTTTTAATAATAAAGAAATACTAAAAATAGTATATAAAACAAAGGAAAAATCTAAAAAAAAAAAACTATAAAAATAACTATATAAATATCCAATTAAAGAATTAGAAAAAAAAACTAAAAAAGAAAAACCAGAAAATAATTCAAATAATTTAGAATTAGAATTAAATAAATATATAGCTCATAGAATAAGATCATATAAAGAGAATTGAATTTTGTAACTCAATTCCCTATATAAC